CACTAAAATGCTTCATCGCAGCAGAGCTGAAGGGCAAGCCATGACCAACAAACAGTTCCTTCTCGCCAGAGGAAAAGCGAGTTTCTCCAGAATGAGTGAAGAGTCTTGTTTCTAGAAAGAAAAAAAAAAAAGCAGATAGCTGTAAAAAGGTTGGTTTCCTTGTTAAAAATAAATGGTTTCAAAGGTATTCGGGCAGGTTAATAGGAAGGCTCTGAAAATGTGTACAATGTATTGTATGGAGCTTAATGCAAAATGTGTACAATGTATTGTATGGAGTTTATAGCTTAACGCAAAAATGTGACTGTAAATACCAAGCGAGATGTATGGCAATGACGTCAGGAAAGCCTGGAGCTGGGGGGAGAAAGGAGCTGTCAGAAGCATTTTGTGTAACTTATGTAGTGATGCATTGTCATTTAAGGGAGACTGTAGGAAGTTTAGGGTAAACCCCAAAGCAATCACCAACACCGAACAACATAGGTTGCAGAAAGGAGTAAAGAGAATCATAAAAGTATTCACGTAATGCAAAAGAAGGCGGAAAAGAAGAAACAGAACCAAGAGGAGATGAGATGAGTCATGCCAAAAATGGGTAGGGAGGAGAGACTGTAAACCATGTTGCCACGGCGCCGGCCTGGACTCTTACGCAAGTCAACAAGTTGACTTTGATCTCTCTCTCTCCTCTCTCTCTCCACATCAAAATTCTCCTCCAGAGGAGCAGAGGATTAGGAACTTGAATTAACTGTGATTATAACAGCAAAAAACGCTCCTGGCAGCGATTCCTTTTCTGACCTAAGCATTTCACAGAAAGACGCTTTGCAGGTTCAGCCAAGAGACTCAACGCTGAGCCCTTCCTTAATTCAGGTTGCTCTAGCCTAACAACCCAGGCAGGGGTCAAAAGGGAAAGACTTTCCCTTAGTCCTATTCAGGTTCCCAGAGATTCTGTAAACCTGCTGGCCAGATGGTTGTTTTGTGGAAAAATGCCTGGTCATTTGCAGCCCACTGCTTGGGGGTGACCCCTAAGGGGCTCTGTCTGTGCTGAGACACCCTCACTTGGAATTCTGAATGTGGCTTCCTCCAGGGCCTGGGTCTTGTCTAATGCTGCACCTGCTGCAAAACCAGTTTTATCTCTTTCCATCTTTCTCATTTGTCTCATTCCTTTGCTCTCCACACTGTCTTGGGTGGTGTTGAGAGGTCAGGGAAGGCCTTGCACGGTGCCTGATAGGCAAGTCCTACTACTAATGCCTACGCCATACTAATTCAAAACCTGCCGCTGCCCAGCCTAACACGTCATCTGATACCAGGTTTTCAGCACAGTTCGAAACTACAGTGTGGCGCATGATTGGTTGGCAGAGGTGGAGGCAAAGACCTTCAGAGTGTGTTTATTACCTGTGTGGATTGTAACAGGTGTCTTCTGCCTCCAAGTCTCCCCTACGGCCACTGTTTAGGAAAATTGGTGGACTTCATTATGTAGATTGGGAAACTTGAAAAACAGGAAAGCCTTGAAACCAGGGAGAAAAGTACTAGGACGGAGAGAATAATGGGCCCAAAGGGAGCTGAGGCACCATAAATAAGGGCAGGCAGCTGGGATGTGAGGGAGGCTGGAATGCGGGCAGGACCTGGAGTATATGATGTTCATGGAAACAAAGGAAAAACTACGGGACACGCGGGATGTTGGGGGTGAGGGAAAAGGTATAGGAACAGCTAATGTGTCTCTAGGTCACTCAAACCCCTCCAATCGTCTTCAAGAGGCATCAGGAAGGATAGGAATTACCTCAGTAGAATTGTGGCTGCTGTGTTTACCGGAATAGGGAGCACAGATTGTTCCTCGGGGGCACTGAAGGGGACAACTGGCGTGTGTGGTGGCCAATGTCTATTCCCTTTATAAGGCATTTTCATAGCTTCTAGGGACTGACTCATTGGCCCTGGCTGCTCCTGGCAGCTCAACTCCAGTGTTGAGCATAGGACTTAGATTTGCCCAGTCAGAGACCCACGATGTACCGGCTCAGAGTAGCTAGCCAAGGAGCGTGGGTGCGATTTATTTTGAGCCACAATCACAGCCGTTGAGAAAGAGAAATTCTGCTGATCTCAGAATTTGACCATGGTGATAAACACAAAGGAAGGCAAGCAGGGCAAAACTCTGAGGAAGTGGGTCTCTCAATGGTGACGTTGAGACTCTGTGCCAGCATGTGCTGCAGCTGACCCTTGGCTTTTAAACTGGCCCCCTCACTGTTGGTGTATGTAAGGATGAGCAATGTGAGCAGGATTTAGTCACTTGGAATGCAAAGAGGTCTAAATTATACAACATTTGCCTTATATTTTTTTGTCACCTATGACAATGACACATCCCCATAATAATTAGTTCTATTTCACGAGGACAGAGACTACCTTTGTTTTTTCTACTATATCCCCCAACACTTAATGTGATGTCTGGAATATTGCATAGAAGTCATTAAATACATCCTTTTTAGTCTTTTGTAGAAGGACTGTGGAACGACTTTGGAACTTTGCACTAGAAAAGTCGTTGATTGTTCAAAGCTTAGTGTGGGAGTTTGGAAGAGAAGAATGTTGAGAGGAAAGCAGCTTCTGGAGGCTTGTGAAGTTTGAGAGTCACTCCAAGTCTCTATTTGGGCCATTGACTATTTTTTTAAAATATTTATTTATTTATTATGTATACAATGTTCTGTCTGTATGCCTGCAGGCCAGAAGAGGGCACCAGACCTCATTCCAGATGGTTGTGAGCCACCATGTGGTTGCTGGGAATTGAACTCAGGACCTCTGGAAGAGCAGACAATGCTCTTAACCGCTGAGCCATCTCTCCAGCCCCCGGCCATTGACTATTTTGAGTTAAGAAACAGTGGTTCTGGTTAGCCGGGGCTGAAGAAATCACTTGTGATGAACAAGATCCTGGGCCTACTGAGGTGAAACCCTTGCTTTGCTGGGACAATTGATGCTGGTCAGCTGAAGCTGAGAAATTAGTGGTGACCAGCTTCACTGAGGGAAAAGCTTCTGGAAAGTGTTTCCTGAGAGCACGTAGAAGCACGTAGAAGCCGTGTTCCAGAGATGGACAAGGTTGCTTGCACCTGTAGCTGAACTCTGTAATGTAAGTGTCACCCAGTTGATACTGGTTTTGAAGGCATCAAGGGGTCATGAAGAGCAGCTGAGGCTAGATAACCGTGTGTCAGGGGTGGAGTCCCTAAAGAGAGCCCAGGAGAGGCTATTGGTGACAGTGCAGATTAGTTGCAGCCGAAGACCCCAGTGTTCTGGAGGTGCCAGGACCATGGGACGACCACCAGGAACAGTAGCAGTGGTGGTGTGGAGCCAGCCTGAGCCTAGAAGACAAGCTGTGTGTGCTGCAGAGGGCGGAACTGGAGCAGCGTCCCAAGCCCTATGGAGGAGCCCAGAACCTTGTAAGGAGATCCTAGACATCGGTTACTGAGTTATTTACACAGCAGGAATTTGGTTTTAACTTTATTCGGAGTGTGTCTGTGTCCTGCTTCTTCCCTCTTGAAATAAGGGAATGTTTAACTTAGTTTTTATTTTTGTGGGAGTCCACAGTTGAATGACTTCGAATCTTTAAAGAGATTCTGGATTTTAAAAGAGGCCGAATTTTAAAGTGTTTGAGTTTGCAAAGATTGGGAGTCTTTAAGTTTGTAGAATGTTTTATGTTGTAGTGTCAATAGTAATGTACAATCTTGGGCATGAACAAGAGAGGAAAGGTTGTGGCTTCACCGTGAAGCGTTTGTGTGTCAAGCGGGAAAAG